CCATGAAACAACATTTATGCATTCTAAAGAAAACGACAGAATGATTGAGCAGTTTATAGACAGGGCCCACACAAGTTCCTAGAATGCAATTTACAAGACTTTTCGAGGATAGGAAGCCTAAAAGACGGTGAAAATTGTGGCATATATCGATATCAACCAAACTCAGAATACGTGACTACTGGTTGCTATTATGTGACATTAGATGAAAAACTTGACATTTTACTGCCTGGAACTGCCTTGAAGATAGTAGTTGATACAGGGGTGATGAAATTGGACCCATTTTCAGACGAGGTGATTTGCAAGAGCCATAGAATGATACGCCGCTTCAATCTAAAAAAGACTGTGAAGGAGATGTTCTATTACTATCTCAGAAACGTATCCCATGTCCTTGAGAATATTACCAACAGGAATTTTTCTTGGAAAAACAATTATCTTAACAGGTTCCTCGGAGTATCAGGAAGGCAGATGTCTCTCACAGCTCGATCCATTGTTACTAGGCTAGTGGCCAGTCAGAACACAAATTACCATTACGTTTGCTTTCTTTACTGTTTTTGTAACCTGGACTCTCGTGACGCCAAAATAGGGCCTCTGTCATATTGTCTTCCAGATGGGACGATTGTTGATATGGGCGCAGACAAAGGTATTTTTATATACAGCGAACAGCATAATAGCTACCTGCTGTACGGAATGATGATAGCAAAGAAACTGAGGCGAATTGGAAAAACAGAGCTGATGACAGGATTGCTGGAGGGGTACAAAATAGAGGCTCCTGCGAAAGAAGGCAATAGAATTGTAACCGTCAGGTATCTGGAATCCTGCGTTAACGAGATCGAAGAGGGTGAATCCAGGAATGTGTTCATAGGGGGGGTTCTATATACTGTGACAAAGGATTCATCAGTAAGGTATTCAACTTCAGCCACTTTAAATCGACACATGGAGGAAATAATCAAGCGTGTATCAAACCAAGGGAGAAACATAATCTTGGGCAAGCGATGGCTTGAATGCGAGGAGCTAGATTATGAGCATTTCTCACCAGACGGAAAGAAACGTAAGATAGAAGAGGAACAAGTAATTATGGATTATTTGTAAGATATTGTTTATTAGTCTTTTAAAAGTTGATTAAACCAATTATTGTTGTTATTTTTTTACAATTTATACTTTTGATTAATCCCGTAACAACTTACCCCATCCTATTAACAACTAGCCTCAAGACGGAGTAAATTGTTACTTACAGACTTTGTGTAATGTAATATTAAATGTAAAAAAAAATCCTAGCGAAAACGTCCCAAGATACCATCTTTATATCAAGCAGGAAAACCGCACAACTCAATCTAGAGGACCTATCAGTCTCCGCTGGTCATTGGGGAAAATATACGAGTGCCTTATCGTCAAGCGTCTCCATGATTTCGCAAATAATCCCTAACAGACGTGCTCGAATAAGTTCTGGAAGACTTTAAAGACATAAAGACATTTATTCCGACACTTTCTTACAACGACAAATTAATAAACAAAATTAATACGAATAAGAATAAAATAATAATAAAAAATATTAAAACACAAGAAAATGAATAAACAAAAAAATAGAGGATATAACAACAATTCATGACTTAATAATCGAAACAGATGAAGTGGCGGAAGGGACCGCCTCAGCATAAGCCGCGGGATAGCGACGCTGATTTTCAGTCGGCCCCATACGGTCCTACGGAGACCGTGCCGTAAGTGTCGACATTAAGCGAGTAGTAGATACATATGACAATAACAACTGATGAATGACAATAACAAAATGGAAAATGCGTATTGTATAGTTGAGCTGAATGTAAGTTACTGAACGCTACGTTAGATGTGACGGGAACATTAGTAAGTGTCATAATATAATTTAACAGTGTATATTATAAAATCACTAATCATGCCAACGGATAAGGGCGTCTGAGGCATTACTGCATTTCGCAGATGTTATAGGGAAACCAGAATCATTTTCTGGTATAAATAGAGTCAATGCAGTTGGACTGTTTGAATATATAATCACAATGTTAGGATCTATGATATATTACTCTGAACCGGATGTTGAGCAACATGTTCATCATGCATTAGACTCAACTGAAATAGGTGTAGCAGTCCGTCCTATTTCAAGGTTGATTCAACAATATGCTGTAACTTTAGGCTACGATTGTCATTTTAAAGCTAAGAAATACTCAAAAGGAAATGGTAAAAGATTGATGTTAGAGATTAAGCAGTCAAATGATGTGCCGTTAACATCAGATCAATTACATGAATTGATATAGCGTTCAACTATCAACTGGCTCAATACTGTGGAAGTATGGAATAACTGGAATCATGTTGCAACCGGAGACGGATGACATTTTAATCCAGACTCCAATTTCATGTTTACACGGTGCACCACGTTTAGAGACAAATTTATTCAACTGTTAGTAGTGCTTCTAATAAGATGGAACATTCGTTTGAAATCAGGCTGTGGGCATCTGATGAATCACAAGCTGCTGAAATAAATCATATTCTTTAGCCACATCTCTAATAGTAAAGGCGTTTGATAAGGTCTGACACAACGGCTTAATTTACAAGCTGTATAAACTCAGCGTACCCGAGGCTCGTGCACATCATCCAATCCCTTACAAACCACGCTTTTTGTTATCGACTAGAGGGAATTCTCTCCACAAAGCGTTTCCTAAAGGACGGGGGTCTCTAAAGGCTCTGTTCTCTCTCTCTACTTCTTTGTACACAACATGGGTTACATTCCGAAAGAACAAGTGATTTCTTAGAAAGATTCTCCAAAGCGTTCGATCGCCTAGGCGAATGATTTCGTCCATGAAGAATCGAAGTGAATCCCGAGAAAAGTGGAGCGAAATACTTTTCAAGGAACACTAGTCTACAGGCTGGATCATAAGTTCGAAAGACCCTTAGGATCAAAAATGTACAAATGTTTTTAAATTTAATACCTATTCTAGCAGAGTATTCTAGTAAAGAAATTGAACGAAATACATTATTTGAATATTTTACATTTGTTATTGATTATTAATAGTATTGAGTATCATTGTAAAGGTAATCTCAGATGGAAGGAACACTATGAAACTAGGTCTTTCTTACTTTGTCTTTTTTAGATATTGTAATCTCAAATTATTAAAAGAAAATAAAGCAAAAAATATATCCACAAATTGATTGGACTGCAATGAATGACTGATCGATTTTTGTATATACCTTTTACCAACCTACGCCACTAAATTGGCACGCCACAAGATTGAAAAGAATTCTTAAACAAATTTGATTTCTTTGATGGTGACTGACGTGTTCACTGCCTACCTGATGGGAAGCAGTGATAATGGCTCATGGATACTTTAATCTATCCAAGATACAAATCTAAATATTGGAGCGTGGCTTAGGATCCCAAAGGACCAAGATGGAACATTTCGTTTTTTCTGTTTTCGCCGCTCACAGTACGAAAGAAAGCCACTTTGCGGTTTTACGCTTGTATTTATTGGCTTACATTACCTTTACACGGATGTGTGAAACGTTTACATGCTATAACTAGGGTTACCAACTCCGAAAATAAAGATACATCAACGAAAAAACAACGAAAATGAAAGCGCCAGGGTAGCCCGTGAATGTTCGTTCATGAATTCATTATATGAACATAGAGGGTTTGTATTGGTGATTTAATGATAATAATTCTGTAAACACATACTCGTTACGGTCGCGAATCATATTTTGTTAAACATACAACCTGACCCGACCGTCCCGACCGCGAGAAAATTTGAACTTCGCGGGCCACCATGGCGTTTTCACCTTAAGGAAATGGAAAAAAATAGAAAACAAATATTTATTACCAAAACAGAATCCAATGAAAGCTCGTGATATAATATTTACTCCCATCCCGACTTCGCCTGGGTGGGATCTATTTATGTGGCGTCATTTAGATTTTCAAAATAAAAATCAATGGCCATTATTTTATACATTATTTGATTTCACAAAAAATACTACAAGATTTTCGGATAAAACATACGGCTTAGATCATTCATGGCATTGCCTTCCATCTGTTTGTTAGGTTTCATCACATTCAGTAATTCCGAAGATTTGCTCGAATAGACAGACAGAATTTTTTTTTTACAAATGGCTATTCATTTCTTAATTGCTTTCAAATAATCCTTTGAGCTCGATCGAAAGGGCAGATGTTTCGATATTACAGGCAGACACTTCAATATTATTTATATTATGTATAGATGAGTAAAATGACAAGTTGGAACTTCATTTTACGTCGTCGTAAAATAAAATCTTCCGTTTGTCTTGCTTAAAGAAAGATAAAACGAAAAAATATTCATTCTTTGCTACAACACAATACATAACAGTACCACAGGTACATAGGGCAAAATTCACGAGCTAACTTAGCTAAAATAATTTTACATTTAAAGTAATTTTTAAACTTGAAACAGCATATAGGTAACTTTGCATCGAACATAATTTTGCATTCAAAACGTTCATAAATCTGGAATTTTGTGAGAGTTGGTAATACTAGCTACAACGAGAGCCGTACCTCATACTTTACAGCATGGCACATCACAAACTATATTTTATTTTAAATCAAATTTAAGCCATTGAATGATTACGGTAACCTTTTTATGACGAATATTACTTCAACCATAGTTACTTAAGCCATTTATGGGTATAAAATACAGTAATAGTCTTAAATATTGAGTAACAAAAATCAGAAAACGATCTTTATTTAATGTGACATAAAGATCATTTTCGGTTACATTTAATTATAACTTTGATAAAGAATTTGAAATGTTATGGATCGATCGGTACAGTTTTATGTAGCGAGTAATGTGTAAGCACTGGCTTATAATAATAAAAAAAGTTGATGCAGTTACAGCTGTCTCTTGTAAGATGTGCTAAATTTCATTACTTACAGTTGCGGCGTGCTTTTTACATAAGATGTTGGGAGCTAGGGCTTACGTGTTTGTGCGCTTGTTCCTGCGTCGGCGCCGGCATCAGCTGCGCTTGTCGTTGTCGCCGGCCGCCAGCGGAGCCCCGGACTTCGGTTTCGACTTCGCCCCTCCTAAGAATACTTTCACCGCGCCCGCAGACATCAAGTAGAACCAGTAAAGTTGCGGCAGCAATAGAATACATATGGAGATCTTGCAGCCGGTCGGTAAAGTTTTAATGGCCTGAAAATTAAACATAAATAATATTTACGTGCAAGAGCCATGTCTTACGTGGTAGAGCCATGCTGCAGCTATATTAGTAGTATAGTTGTAGCACGAATGGGTCGGCTCGACCGGGGAATGGCCACGCTCTCACAGAATACCAGCGTAAAATAGCAGCTTAACACTGCTATGTTTCGTATGGTGAGTGTAGAGAACCGGAGACCCTTTTTACTGTACTGGTGAAAACGCATACGCATTTTGATTCGCAAACGGGGATAAATGTAGATGTCTATGGGTCACAGCAACCACTTACCATCAGGTGGACTGTGTGCTTGTTTTATTAAAGTAATTTCGTTTGCAAGTAAGTACGTCAATTTGTATAGTGATTGCATGTTGAAGTGCATTTTGCAATATTTAATTTGCTTGTGTGGCCGGTTAATATCGTACTAAAGAATTTAGTTTGTTGTTTGGAACGCTGAACCTTGTGACTCGAGAAGAGATCGCGTTAGTACGTGAAGCTATAATTTTGTTGCTAAGTGAAAATGGAAGTTGAACTTTGAACGGCCGTTCATTAGTTGTGCCGTGTGTTACGTGTTTGAGTACGATTAATGAGGCTTATCCTGGAGTTTGAAATTAATTAAATGTACAATAAAGTTGATGGATTGAAATAGTGTACAATAAAGTTGATAAACTGAAATAGTGAAGTGACGTCAGACTTGAGTTCAGATAAAGTGAACTATCACTGGAGGATCGCACATTTGGAGAAACGCAGCGCCTGCGGATCTGCGGTTCGACTTCAACGGTTAAGTCAGGTCTCACATTATACACACTACTATACACTACTTACATGCACCTCACTTATCACCTGACTGGTACCCTGTGGTCAACCCTACCTCCTGAAATAAGTAAGTGCTTGCTTATTTGTCAGCCGTTTTTTGTACATTTACCCATAGGCCGTTGGGCCCCGTCCTCTGTTGCCCGTCGATTGGATTACTGATGGGCCCTAGTCCAGTCAACCTTTGTCGGGTAAACTCAGGGTGTGAACAATTTGGTAGCAGAGCGTGGTTTGGATTGGTTCTCCAATCAAGCCCGGCCGTAATATAGGTAATAAATAAGTACGTAATAAAATTTAAATATTTGTTTTTGTTGTTTGTTAGCGGGTAGATTTAGGAACCACGCCCGTTAGTCTGCGCAAGCAGGAGTTTGTTAGGGCTAGGTACGCGTCAGGTATTTTGAGTAGGTAGATAATTGTTATCACGTAATCGGATAATTATCGTTATCGTATAATTATAGTAGATTAATTGTCGAAGGGTCGGTCGCCAGGGCGAGGCATCTTTGCTGATCGACTGTAGTGTGTACCTTTATTTGTAGTGTAATTTGTATTTAATTTAATAAATAGTAATTGTATTTGTGTAATTTGTATTTAACTTGATTTGATAGTAATTGTATTTGTTATTTCTTAATTTTATTTGTATTTGTGCCGCGTAGTAATTAGTATTTAGTAGTGATGCCATCGCACAAGCTACCGATTCGTCGCCTGAAGGCGGAGCTGCGCTGGGCCGCTAGCGCCCATGCTTTGATAGGGCGACTGGATAGGGTCTATAGTTTGGAGAAGCGGCTCGAGCAGGTCGCGGCCCAAGGGGCCGTAGTGGAGGTGGCTTACGCTGAGCTCGAGGTCTCGGATGCGGAAAAGGGAGTCCTGGACTCCTGCCTTGTGGACTACGAGCAGTTCTTTTCGCTTACGGACGACTTGATCGAGGCCGGGGCCAAGTATGCTAAGGAAGTGCGTGAAGCTCTGATGAGTGGCCTAGCCGAGTCCCCTCGGAAGCGGCCTACTCAGCAGGAGCTGTTGGGACGACTCCCAACTCTGGACCTGCCAAGGTTCTCCGGGGTCCTCTCCGACTGGATAACTTTTGTAGGCCTTTTTGATAGTCTAGTGGACACCCGGAGGGACTCGACACCAAGCCAGAAGATGGCGTACCTCCTAGCCTCACTGGAGGGGGAGGCCCTGGGCGTCGTCGGCCATTTGAGATTGTCGGACGACGCCTACCAGACTGCTCGGGACCTCCTCGCCGGAAGATACGCCAACGTCCGACGAATTGCGGACGTATACGTCAGGCAGGTTCTAAGCCTCCCACTGCTTAGGGACCGGGCCAGACTACGCCCAGACATCGTGAATCCAGTCTTGGTGGCCTGTAATGCGTTGAGGCGGCTGGATTTACCGGTGGATGAATGGTCCTTCTTGTTGCTCCACATCGTGCTGTCCCGCCTGCCTCTCGACTTTAGGATACATTTTGAGGAGAGGTATGGCGGGGACGGCGCCTCCTATATTCCGCCCTATAGTGATCTACTGCGGTTCTTGGAGGAGCAGTGCCGGCAGATTGAGAACGCGGCGGGCACCGTTGACGACTTACGAGCCGTGCCCAGTGAGAGGCGGGATCCGCCGGGCAAGTCGTCGTCAACCCCTACCGTCTTACAGTGGCCTAGTGGCCAGGGAGGCGCCCCCCTGTTCCTATTGTCGAGCATCCGATCACCGGGTGACGTCGTGCCCGAAGTTATTAGGTAAGTCGGTTCCGGCTACGCGAACTATCGCCAAGGAGCGCCGCTGGTGCTACTCGTGTTTGGAAAGGGACCTACAGCGAGACTGCCCGCACCCAGCGAGACTGCCCGCACCAGCGGCCCTGTCCGCATTGCCAGGGCAATCACCATGCAGTTTTGTGCCTGGGTGCGGACGGCGTCTGCTCTCGGGGCTCTGCCGGGCCCTCGACTCCCACGGGCGGGGGCGCTCAGCCACGCCCTCTGTAGGGCGACGCTCGGCGCTCGCCTGCCGGCCGCCGAGCTCCTAGGTTTGAAAGGGGTCCCTCCCCCGACCAGTCGGGGTGTCTTTCCCCCAGGGGCGGGGGTGTCGTCGCCCCCCCTCAGCGTGTGGAGGGGAACTTCACGGCCACTCAGCAGTCAGCTAGACCCTTCTCACCCCCGTGAGTGAGTGGCCGCAGCTGGGGTAACGCCGTCTCCCCTTTGATGGAGGCAGCCCTAGTTAGCTGCCGCCCTAGCTCCCACCACGGCCGCCTCCACTGAGCCTTTGAGCCGTCAACAGTCCACTTGTCAAACTGTTCTATGGCCGACGGCCTCAGTGAAGGCGTACAACCCGAGTGGCGACTGTTAGCGGTTCGCGCTCTATTGAATTCGGGTTCACAATGCTGTGTGGCCTCCACTTGGTTGGTGGGAAGACTAGGGCTCCCCTGGAGCATTGAATCACGCTGTCAAAGAGTATTAGATTTGGCTTTGGTAGAGCACTTTAAAAATAAAAATTATTTTATTATAAGCTTAATTATAAATATTTTAAACGAAGTTGTTTTGACTATCCTGTAATTATTATTGCAAATATTAAAATATTAAATTCTATCTTTAATTATTAGTAACTACAAGTTTACTATGAATTCATACAATAAACTCTTTATAGTTAAAATAAAAGTAGTTGAACTGATTAAAATCTGAAGGCTTGCACAATGCCCATTGGCCCGCGCATCTGTAGGACCGCGTGGGAGTGGTGGCGTTGTGCCTTTACCGAAAAGTCGATGGAACGGCGATTCTCTAGTCAGCGCTTGAGGTGTTAAAGTCAAAAGCAAATACTGTGAGTAATTTAATTATCAAATAAGTTAACCGTACTATTAGTTCTGTTAAGCAGTTATTTACTGTGTACTCTATTATATTTGTGTGTAATAAACTATTCACATTAGAATTAATAAGTGAATTGCTGTTTTATTGTGGTGATGCCCATGACTCCGACGGAATTCATGGTTCTGCTCATTTTAATATTTATAATGGACGTCAAAATCCGGCATATACTAACATAGAATAACTCAATGCAAATTTCGTTTTTATGCTAATCTTCAACAACTAAATCCAACCTTAAAGTAATAGACATAAGTGTTTAAATTTAAACTCACCTCGAAATACGGCAATCCGATAACTCTGCTGTACATAAGAAAGACATAAGGCAGACTCAGAACACGACACACGAAGAAAGTGGCGAGCATCACCAGCCCGTTCAGCAGATACGCACGCGACGACTTCAAGCCCATCCGCGACAGGATCCCGCGTATAGACACGAACGGTGTCGACAGCTCCATGAGGTAAACGAAACCGAATACGCAGTCGCCCAACCCTCCACGCAGGTACTGAAAAGTATTATAATATTTGCCTTAATAAGAAAAGGATTTCGGTATAAGAGAAGCCATCGTAAAATTTCGTAAGGGCGGTAGATGGCGTATAACCACCGCCGTAAGGTAGATGCAATTACCCAGATCAAGGGCTGGGGGCAGTATCTATGCTTGGATCACGGTCATGATTGTAGCATTTCAATCAGTGGAATGTTATAGGCTGATGGCGAGATAAAGACAGAAAATACATGTAATATTATATTATATCAGATTAGATTAGATTTTCACAAAGTACAGTAGTTTTATAGGTTATATACGTGGTAGCGCCATGCTAGCACTAATGGGCCGGCTCGACTGGGGTACGACCACGCCGTCACAGAATACCAGCGTAAAATAGCAGCTTAATGCTGCTGTGTTTCGTACGGTAAGCTAGGAGATCCTAATTGTTGGATTCCAACTTAGTCCTCATGGGTGACAACACATCTGCATTATGATTCTTAAGTGGGGATAGATATGGATGTCTATGGGCCACAGCATCCACTTACTATCAAGTGGACAGTGACTGTGGCGCTCGTTATAACTCCTTAAATTATAAAAAATATTCTCCAGACACTAGTAGGCTAAACAGGGCTTCTATCACTCACTTACTACAACCAGCACACCAGAAGTCCACAGCTGAACATAGGCCTGCCCCAAAAAATACCACAAAGTAAGAAGCGACAGAAGGAAACTGAAACAGGCGATGGGCAGCAGCATCTTCCTGATAACAAGTTAAAATAATAATAATAATAGTTTTAAAAAAAAACTAAAAGAACACGACTTTGTAGATAACCGAATATTTTTTTTTAGCGCGGCTAACTACAAAGGCGTTTGTTTATTTTTTTTGGAACGAAGTTCATTTACGCGGCTTACAGTAGATTGAACTGACAGAAATCGTAGTTGTTTTATGAAATATTCGCAAATCCTGAGGAACCTGGCAAGGATAACGGGACAAACTATTTAAATTGTTGCACTGTCATCGGTCTTTGGTAAGTGTACGAAGTTTCAAATCATTCCGACGTTTTGAAAGGGATGAAAGTCGCATTCAAAAATTCCGTTACATAGATACATACCAAGCTAATAAAAGCGTGATGGAAAAACTGCGGTTGTCAACTCGCTCGCCAAGCGTGGCAACTAAGGCGAAATGAGACATCTATGCCTGTAAGACATCTCTATGGTGAAGGCCTATGTTAAACAGTGGACTTGTTTAGGCTGTAATGGATGATGGATGGACGGATGGACGTCTCTACGCCTCCTGCAACCATCGACGACCTGCATAATATTCCACATCAGGTCGTTACGATATCTAGTGGAATACTGAATACTCTAGAATAGAATAGAAATCTGTTATTATATTTATGACTATGAGAAGGCCTTCGATTTAGTCGTTATTTTGTTGGTACTACAGGTCCCTTCAGCAGTGCTAAGGTTACAGTAAGTATATCGAGGTGTTGAAAAGCTTGTATAGTAATGCTACGAGTCATTATGACAGATTTACCGAAATATCTTAACACAATACTCAACGACTTCAGTAGTGCATTAACGTGCATGTTACACCCAATATAGGTAATTATTGGGAGCACCACACTCGAAGCTGTTAGCGAGTATGTGAACCTGGGACAAAATTTTCAATTAAGTATGTCCAACTTTGACCAAGAGGTCAACCGCAGATGCGGTTGATGCGGTTGAAAACCGTATTTTGGTTATTTATCACGAGCCATAAGACAAGAGTATACGGTCAGTGCATGTTATTGAATGGAAACGCGCTCCTTCATTGCTGATCGTAATATGAGGAAGCTAGAACTCACACAGCGTACGATGAAAAGAGATCCAGTAGGGAACAGACGGGAATCCACAATGAGGATATCCGCAATAAAACAAAAGTAACTGACATAGACATAGTTCAGGGTATTTATTTATTTATTTACGCTTTATTGTACACCAAAAAACAAAACAAAACGAATACAGTTAAATCTAAAGTAGAAAATGTACAACAGGCGGTCTTATCACTCTGAAAATAATCTCTTCCAGACAACCGTAGTGTAGAGAACTGATGCAAACAATAGTTAAAAATAGAGGGGGGGGGGGGGGAATAAAAATAAAAAATATGAAAATACATACAAATAAAAATAAGTGAAGATTATGTATGATATAATATAATAGATTAAATGAAAAGAGTACGAAAAAGGAAAAGTAATTTATCTAATAGCGTTCTAAGTAATACGATTTAACAAGACTTGAAAGAATGAAGAGAAGGCCATATAGCTCAAAGAATCTACTATTGATAGAGGTGAAAGGAGCGACCCCCCTCCCCTCTCTCTAGATGGAGTGAAGACTTTTTTTTATAGAAATAGGGTGACAAATGAGCACACAGTCCACCTGATGGTATGTGGTTGCTGAGGCCCATATACATCTACATCTATCCTCGTTTGCAAATCAAAATTCAGATGCGTTGTCCGCCTTGAGGACTAAGATGGAATAGCTCTTTTCCAGTAAAAAGGGTCTCCGGTTCTCTACACTCACCATACGGAACATAGCACCGTTAAGCTGCTATTCCAGGCTGGTATTCTGTGAGAGCGTGGTCCTTCCCCGGTCGAGCTACCCTTTCGTGCCACAACTACATATACTATAAATATAGCTGCAGCTTGGTTTTACCACGTAAAGAACGATTTTATGTCATTCTTTAATTAAAAAGTACTTAAAAACACTAAATAGTATGAAATATATAAATAGATGGAAAATGAATTAATGAAAGATGCCTTCATCATTGTCATTACAGCCCTTCGCAGCTCCACTGCTGAACATAGGCCTTCCCCAAGGAATGCCACAAAGCACGATCACTAAGCCCCCTGCATTCATCAACTTCATCTCGTCGTATATCTCGTCACTCCAAGACGCTTATATAAACTAAATGCCATCTTTTTGGGACAAACAAGGACATGTTAAAATTATAAAATCACTCACAACAATGACGAGGAATCCGAAACCCCCTATGAAGAGATGATGGAAGAGTATCACAGGTTCATGGCGGCAATAAGAAAAGAATGAAATCCTTGTTGCGCCTTCGCCCATGCAATCACCGCAGGCGGCACAGCGTGGCCCTCTTCTAGGTTTTTTCACTCCCATGCAGCCCACGTCATCAGAAATTAGTGACGTGGCGACTCCTTCCGATGACTCTGTGCTTTTAGCAGCCCCGCCCAATGACCCAAAGCCCTTTGAGAATGCCACTTGTCGAACATGCACCTGCGTGAAATTGTTTCGGTATTAGATTAGATGTTGCAACAAATAGTCCTGAAATTTGATTTACAATAAGACAACGAATAATACTAAAACAATATGCAGGGCATTGAGTTATATGTACTACGTACTAGAGAAGCCATTTCAAACAAAAACTGTGTCCTACTCTATGTTTTCGCGCATGCGCGGGAGTAGAAGTCGCGCACGCGCGAAGACTTTAATTTGATATAAAATAAGATATTAATATAAAATAAATATAAGAATTTAATATAAAATATCTTAATTTCATCTAAACCAACAGGTTATATTTCTAAATAAAATGTAATAATAATTAATTTATGGAATTCACAAATCTTCAATTTACGCAATATTTAGTTTGTAGGGAGATTGCACTACAGTTCAGTTGAACATAGTCAATGTTCGGAATGGCTTCTCTAGTACGTAGTACATATAACTCAATGATGCAGGGTTATTTTTCAAGCAGTAGCCAAATTTTAAACTTAAGTTCAATTATATAAATAATGGGCTATAAGATCAATCTATGATTTAAAACCTAGAGTCGCTCCGAGAAAAATTTAAGGAAATTAATTAACTTTGGCCTCTCAATACATTCATGAAAATGTAATGAACGTACACAAAAATAAAAGTAGATTTACAAAAATAAGTTATATTCATAATGTAAATACTAGGAACAGATACAAGTTAGTAGTGCCAGTTACACGACTCCACCGAGTCAGTAATTCATTCTTGGGGTGCGATGTATACTTTTACAACAAAGTCCCAGAAAATATACAAAATTTGACCTGCTCAAAGTTAAAAAGCTTAATTAAACTAAGTTTGTCTAAAAAGGAATATTATAATATTAAGGAATTTATGGATGATAATAACCCCTGAGAATGAGGTGATCGCTACCAGGCTATACCTAATTTGTTTTGTGTTGTTAATTATGTAACATACATGATTGTAAACTGTTATTTAAAAATAAGTCCCACTGGGTTTCTTGCTGGTGCTTCCCAGGACAGAGGTTTTTTTTTCAAACCAGTGGTAATTTAAACATAAGAGTGACTTTCAATAATTATTATTTATAATCTACATTGAATAATAAAGTTTGTTTCAGTTTCAATGATATACCGTTATTGTAGTTTTTGAAAATACAAGTAAATAAGGCTTCTACTTTTATTTAAAATTATCCCAAATTGAATGTAATTTATGGGCAACAACGTTTTTGCATACCGATCGGCCCTTACGAATGTGTGCGTGCGTAGTAAAAGCAGTTAAAATAATGAATTACCACGCATTTTGAATTTAAAAGATAAAAAGGACAGAATGTTTGAGATGTTTTCTAATTAATTTTTCTTCATCATTTGCTTAACCTTTAACTGGTGATGTGGTTTTTTTGTAACGTTAGTGGTGACGTGAAGCCTGACAGGCCATGGTTGAATACATACATACATACCTACATAAACAATCACGTCTGTCACTCAGAGGGGTAGGCAGAGACTATGGACTTCCATTTGGCACGATGCTGATACACCTCTCTCGCTTCCTCCACATCCATATACCTACGCATACACGCTCGTCGGTTAAAGGTACTCTTGATTTGGACCATTTTCAATATATCGCCAATTTGGTCTTTCTACATGACCAAACCACCGAAGCATTCCTTTCTTAATCCTGGTCACAACATCATCTCGCAAACCACACTCTTCTCTCATCACACTATTTCTCACTCTGTCATTTAGATTCGTCCCTAGCATACTCCTTAATGACCGCATTTCTACAGCATTTATTCTACTCTCGTGCTTCTTCTGCCACACCCAACTTTCACTACCATACATTAAAGTAGGGACTAACACAGCATTGTGAATTGCCATACGTGCCTTTTTGGACACATTCTGACTTCTCACAATAGGGTGTAGAGCCCCATTCACTCTATTTCCTGCGTTCACTCGTCGTTCTATATCCTTATCATATCTACCATCCCAGCTAAATACACATCCCAAATACACAAACTCATCTACTTGCTCGACCAACTCCCCTTCTATTCTTATTTCACATAACGTTTTACTTTTTTCTCTTTCAAAAACCATCACTTTCGTCTTACTTGCGTTCACTTTCATTCCCTTTTCTTTTAATGTCCTGTTCATTAATGTTATGTTCATTAATGGTTGAATATAAGTGTAATTCGCCATATACATAAAATAATTACTGTTATCTACCTAATTGTGATAATATTGATATTAAGATATTAAATAAAACGATTTTGTGTATTCTAATTATCACTTTTATGAATGAACTGACAATAATAAAATTAGCGCTCGTATTATTAGAATAATTAAAAATTAAAAATTTTGTACAGCCGACTTCAATATAAGTTATGAAGAATAACTCAAAAGCTATTGGTCTGACCTTGATCAACAGAACACCAATCAACAGGCCACACGAGAAGTACCAGCTTTCAAATAAAACAAGAATTATCAGTAAAAAGTTATGAGGTAACACACATAAAAAAACATACAGTCGAATTGAGTACCGTCTCCTTTTTGGAAGTCGGCAGAAAAAACGACATGAGATCAACATTCAGTCATGAAAAAATAAAAATCAACATTCTTATTGATAATAATATTTTTAAAACTTAGGTAGGTATAGGTAAACGTCACTAATTTTTATTGACACTCAGGTCAAAACTGTTTCGCAGACTGCAGGCATACATGCTTACGAAACACATTGGTAAAAGGATTTCTGGTGTCGCTTAGGTGTACAGGTGGCACATTCCCTTCGCGTCTTCAGCGTCATTTGCGAGTTTTGTGGCTCAGGTGGCAAATCTGAGCCCAAAATTCGTGTGATGTTCGACCTTATTTCAAGTAGCATTCGTGAGCTATAAACTCTGCGTCGCATGTGCTGTAAAAAAATGTCTCTAGCCAAATTTTTTTATGAGACTCCTCTATCAATGATTCTGCTTTCGTCAGCTTAATACAGAACATGTGTGTTTAGCGTACGTGGTTGCTTGAAACTGGTATTTCCTGGTCTGGCGGTGGTTCGTGTTCCTCATTTTCAGATGCGCTTTCCCCAGTGACTGAGTTGTAGTCAATTTGCTCTGGGACATAATTTTCTTCTAAATCTTAGGCTTCAGAACCACGTAGAGTTTTCACAACCCAACCATTCTTAGATTTTTCTATCGACATTTGAACTGGATTTCGGTATAGCTTGTCTACTAGTACTTGGTACTGAATTTCTCTGTTCCAGTACTCTACGTCTTTTTCTATGGTTCTGTATCATCCATCGTGTATGTTTGCAGGTACACGCTATAATAAACCACAAATAACAATTTAGCAACACTTTAAAAAAGTAACGTGGTGGCGATGCCTCAGTGAAACATTAAATCCACATAACTCACCGGTCCCGCCGACATTATTATCCCTGTCCACGGCGTGGGCGCAACTAAACTCGAAGCTACTGAGAACTGAGATGCGCAAATCCGGAACACGCGGGTAAAGGGGTGAAATAACGTTTCGTTGGTGCTATCGGGCCTGTGCGGCCATGCCATGCATGCGCAAATAATTTGAGCAAAAAAATTGCGCAAACAACACGGTGCACTGCACCACGTCCACACTATAATATCTTGCATGCACAAACAGTTATTTTAGTTTGTACAAAGTTTTCGCAAAGAACTTGTGTGGCGTCCACACGCCGTCTATAACGTACATGTTTGCTTGTGCAACTTTAGTTTGAGCAAATTAAGATTAAGTATAGCCGGGCCTTTATACTTACTAGACTAAAGAGATATTTTCATTTTCAGTTAAGCTCATAAATATAAATAATAGTGTTTGAAAGTAATGTTATAATAAGAATAACAGTAAACAAACATTTCCTCACCAAATACATAGACCAGATGTCGTAGAAGAAATATGCAGCGCCAAACCAGGCGTAGGCCTCCGACATGAAGTGCGAAGAACGCATAAAGTCACGGGTACACGACCAAAGGCACACCACAGCGCCGGTGACACACGATAGTGCGGCCTGCACTGCAGATACCAGCCTGTAGAAAAAATAAATAAATACAAGTGTCTTGTACCTATTCTATTAAAAATAAAAAAAAAAACGTGTACAGTTCACAGGCGATAGAAGTGAAACCTTTGGAAACTTTACAACTGTTTGTTTTAACAGTTAAAAGTTATATTAACCATGTTTAAAGCATCGCACAATGTCCGGATGTAACGTTTCATAAATAAATAAAAACATGTGTGCAGTTCACACGCGGTAGAAGTAAAACATTCGAAAAAGGAAACCAAAATAATAGGAAACATTGTATACTGTATTCTATCTCATTCTCTCGCAGGCTATTGTCCTATAGATGTATATGTTTGTCTCTTTTTAGTGTCGTTTTTTCGTTTCATCGAGTTGTTGAATTCAAAGAAATTTTCACTTCAATAATATATAAAAAATATTATATAAAAAATGAATAGCCAAAGATGTCTATACATTCACTTCATGTTTTGATACAAAGATTATAGATTTTAAAAATTAATCAACTTCTATTAAAAATCTTATAAGGCGATTTTTAGATATACTAGGTAAATAAGTTAACATGTAGTAATACGTTATACGTTAATACAGTAATATGTAAGCTCTGTTATCTCCAATGTTCTGTGTTATCTCCATTTTTTAATATATTTAGATTAATATATTTGTAAACAATATTGGAAACGATGAAACATGTTGTGAACATTTTATTATATAATTTAAAAATAAAAAATTTGTACAGCCGACTTCAGTATAAGTTATTAAGAATAACTCAAAAACTATTAGTCGGGCCTTGATTAAATTTATATGGAACCACATGTGAAGCACCAGCTTTCCAATAAAAAAAAAGAATCATCGAAATCGGTTCAGTCAGTAAAAAGTTATAAGGTAGCACACGTAAAAAAAAACACACAGTCGAATTGAGTACCGTCTCCTTTTTGGAAGTCGGCAGAAAAGGTAAACAGTTGAGCTTATTAGCTAAGACAAAGTCAAACCCACGAAAATTTCAATACAGCAATTTGTTTACAAAGTTAATATATTCTATTGACAAAGACAACTATACTCCATTTAAATTGCTGTATATGAGTGGCGATGTAAAAGAATCTCCTAAGCTATAAAATCCCGTTGATGCCGTAAGACGCAACAGAGGGGAAACCGAACCGGAGATGGGCAAGCAGCACCTTTCTCATAACAACTCAATAATTATAAAAAACTGTGGTTGCCAAGTAACTATGGCAAATATTTCCTCTATGAAGCTAAATTGCTTGGGAGAGGCTTATTTTCATCAGTGGACTTGGACTGTAGTAAATGAAAAAGGGCTTAAACTATATGTAAAGTAAAGTAAAGTTACAGCCTATATTTCTGAGAGGGTTTTAGGGCAAGTAAGTCCCCCGCGCTGCCTCAATGTGAATTGGCGAACTTCACACGTCTTCGAAATATTTCCCTTTTTCTTATTTCTCAGATATGCAGGTTTCCTCAAGATTGCGTGTCACTGACAAGATTGGCTTAATCTTGAAGCGAGCTTCCATCAAAACATACTTCAAGCCGCCGAAGAAGATTAGTCAGTTTTTACCATCAGTCAAGTGTAATGTCCCTCTGCAAGATGCCGGAGTGTACAAGCTTGATTGTGAATGTGGTATCGATTATACAGGACATACTAAATGATCAATAATAGCCCGCCTTAAAGAACACATAGCTGATGTGAATAATCAAGCGTCAGTAGCCTAATGGCAGGACGCGGACTGCGAACTCGAAAGGTCGTGGGTTCGAATCCGCCATGCGACTACTGCCATGAACCACTTCTAACACAAACATTTTAAGCTTACCAGAAGTGGTTAAAGGGAATATTAGTAAAGTTTAATATCTTTACTAGTATTTTTTTAAAAAATCGACGCTCTGAAAAGTCTGCAGTCTGTGAACACGTACAGGATCGCCCCCGTCACTACATTAGATTTGATAGACCACAAATCCCCGCTAAAGAATAACAATTCCTTCTAAGGATTATTCGCGAGACTATCGAAATCAAAAAACATCCTAATTTCAATAGAGAAGATGGCTGGGTGCTACCATCTGCTTGGTTTCCTCCTGTAATTAATTAAATTAATTCTGATTCCAAGCATACAACTGCAAGACTTCACAAGATATACTAAGTAAGTTGGATAGTTCATGCTGCGTAGATCGGAACAAAAATTAATAATTTTAATCTGGAGTCAGTCCTGATTAAGCCCCCCCTCCCCCCTCCCCGTGACTATATGTGTGATGTAAAGTGCTCCAAACGTCGGGAATATAAAAATAAATATACGCTATAAATCCGTAAAAACTAGTTTTATTTAAATGTGTAGTGTTCGCGTAAATATATGAAATTATTTAACATTTAAGAAGGTACCTACTTTTTGAAATAATTATTTTATGAAACAAAATAAAAGAACATGTCTGTGGCGATATAAGATTGTATCGTGAAAAATATATTATCCATCACAATGGGTTGAAAAATCAATTTTGAAACTGATATCGGTATTATTATCTTTAGAGAACTAATTTTGTTTTGAATTTCATAAACAATTTGTTATCAATTGTTTATACACATAAAGCGTTATCGATTGTAAATCGCGACGATGGTAAACTTTGAATGTCACCTGTTTATTTGACGTAAAACTTCTCAGATAACATTCATTGAAGCGATCGTAAAGTCAAATAATAATAAACCTATGTAGTAGATTTTTCTTTTCATTTTTAATGCAAATAAATCACATGGAAATAAATGCGGTCGCGGTATGTTTTAAATAAAATGTTTTCATTAAAACAAAAGCCCTTACATTTTACCTTATTTCGCACATAGGTGCTTTGGGAAACAATGTTAACAGTTACTATTACTAAGGAGGGAACACCGGAACAGTGATTGGTCACTAGGGAAAGCGCAGAGAGGCATTGTTTTGGCCAAGTTGTAGAAGATATCATCTCCTCAGTCAGCATGGTGCAGCAGGTTGACACTTGAACAAAAAGATTGCATATGCAACAAAGATAGTAATGTCCACGTACTTGTTGTTGATATCCAGAACATCACCGCAGTTGAGACGATATTTCTGACGCAGTCTGGAGCCCGAACTTGTGAAGAGTGCCGCGAAGGTGAACAGCTCGAACAGCGACATGAAATAGGCGAAACCGAGTGCTGTCAAAGCACAGCCGCGGGTCACTGATATCCTGGTGAATGAATGCAATAAAATTACATCAACACTAATAATGAATATGATGACGATAATGGTGATGATGATGGATATATCTATGGTATAAGTTTAATAATAATTCATTTGTTAATGTAAGTATATTACATACTTTTATGTTTCTGTCCACCTTATGATAAGTGAAGGCTGTGGCTCATAGAAACTTATATCTATCATTGTTTAGGAATCAAAATAAAAATATGTTTTCACCCCTGAGGACCTAAGGACTAAGATGGAGCCTTGATACCAATATAACATGAAGCTGCTATTTCAATTTCAAACAAAGAATGCTACAAATACGTTGCTGAGGACTAAGATATCTATGTTACAGTTAAAACCAGTTTTAAGATAGAACGCGTTTTCCCTAGTTAAAACTAGTTTTATTTAATGTCTTTGTTATAACTAGAATTAACTAATGCTCAAAATTGATTATCAGGTAAAACACACAAAACGCGTTTTTCCGAAGCGAGTCAGTTAAAACTGTTCCGACCGAGGTTACGGAGCGGTGCGGGGGAATCCCTTTCCGAGCGCCAGCCGCGCGCTGTGTGCTCGCTCCGTTCAGTCCCGCTTTGTTTTTATTCTGATATGCACGTATAGATTGATTCGAGCGCAATTGTCATGGCAAACTTAAATTAGGGAACGCGATGGAAGTTTTTAAACTGGTTATTAGCGATTCGCGATCAGGTAAAAAAAGAGTATCACTTTTATATTATGACAAAAGAACCCCATGACAATTTAGTGGACGAAATTGAAGAAGCACAATTAGCTATTCAGAAATCTCAGAAACAGTACAGGAGACTGAAGTGATTTAAGGTAACTAATATTTGTGGAACACGAACATTAGTGACTAGAAAGGAGCCCATGAAATACTACTTGTATGTATATAAAATTTTTGATATAATTGAAGCAGCTAATGTGGCAGTTGCTCATGGTGGTCAGGATAGACTTAAAAATGAAACTACGAAAATATGCGAACGTAACTTTAGAAATGATAAATATTTTTCTCTCAATGTGCGTAACATGTCAGCGTAAAAAGAGTATGAAGAAAAAAAGCACTTGTTTCAAAATCCATACTACATTCTCAAATTGACTTTGCAACGGCTGTACAGCCGTTGCCAAGTCGATCTTAACGACATGCAAACTCAAGAAGATCAGGAATTTAAATTTATAATGGTGTATCAGGACCATTTGACAAAATTTGTTTTGTTGCGTGCACTAAAAAAAAGTGCCGAGGAGGTGGCGTATCAGTTGACTGATATATTTTTGACATTTGGTGCTCCTTGCATCTTACACTCCGATAACGGCAGTGAATTTGTAAATTCTGTCATAAATGAGCTCGTTTCATTTTGGCTCGAGTGTAAACTAGTCCATGTAAAGCCAAGACACAGTCAAAGCCAGGGATCTGTAGAAAGGGCTAACCAAGACATAGAGAAAATGTTGGCTTCATGGATGCAAGATAACGATACTACAAATTGGTCAAATGGTATTCGGTTTGTACAGTTTATGAAAAATCAGGCACTTCATTCCGCTATTAAACAGTCACCATACAGAGCAACGTTTGGTATAGAACCACGAGTAGGGCTTATAACTTCGACTTTGCCCAGAAATGTTATTAAGGACATACGAGATGAAGATGTTCTCGAAAATGAGTTAAATAAAATAAATATGACGGATAGCATATGTAATATAGGTAATGCAGAAACTGAGCCTGTAGCCAGTTGCAGTGAACAGCATCAGATTATAACCGGAGCCAAACAAAAAGACGCAGAAAATTCATCCAAAACAAGAGGAGGATCGCCAATCGCAGCAGAAGCCAGTGGATATGACATTGCAGCTGAAGCATCTACGACTGTAGCGCCTCTTATAATACCACCAAATGACAAAGACCGCGAAGTTGTAACAAATGTGAATCGACAAATAATGGCACCCAGAGAAACAGCAAATTAAAACTTAAAAAACAGGCCCAGAGAATAACATTGGCTTCAGCTGCAATAGACGTTCCGGTAGAAATCGGTGAAAATGTAATTATACAAATCTCTGATGTCAACAGAGCAAAAACAGATCTACGTAATATAGTCGGAGTGGTTCTTCAAAAGGATGATCAAGGTTTTCACAAAATTGGAACGAAATATTGCTGAAATGAAAAACCCTATATATTGCTTAATTGTTTTATCACATAACCATATCGCTATTAGGTAAAAGCTAACTATTTCAATGTGCTTTCCAAGTCAGAATTCGACTTGGAAAGCACATTGAAATAGTTAGAGACGAGAGAAGATGTTCCGAATACAAATTTACCTTTGGGAACTGTTGCTAAGGCAGTAGCCATAGGAACAGGCCAAGGATTTATGCGCTGCGTATGCAAGAAAGGATATATGACAAAAAGGTGTCTGACTGCAGAAAGTCTGAATGCAGACATTAAAAATGGTTTTCTTTGTAACTCAAAATGCCACGATACTTTATCTTGCAATAGCAAGTAGATCCTCATCCTGTTATAATTTTAAAGTTGTTTCATTATTTTTTATTGTACGTTAACAAATCACAGATTACTGTATAGTGTATACCAGTCTACGAACAATCAGTTTCTTTTTTAAATATTATGGTTATGTTCTGTTGACTTGTTCGATTATTTTATTTACTTTTAATTAATATTGTCACCTTAGCAACTACTTTATATCGATGTTCCCTAAAATGTTCCTTTAATGTAAGATTATTATTTTTACTAGGAACACGATTCTGTGTCCTAGAGCTTTTTAATAAATATTTAGTAAGTATATCTTGTTTTCAATCCCAAATTAGTTTCTCTAGTACTAGTTTTAACTAAAGCTCGGAGTGACAACTCGTTTTATCTTAACATCAAATATATCAGTGGTAAATTGTAGTTTTGACTAGAGATTTCTAGTTTTCACACAGGCATTTAGTAAAAACTAGGTTTAACTAGGGAAAGCGCGTTCTATCTAAAATCGGGTTTTAACTGTTTTTTTTTTATTAACTGGCTTTACAGCTCTGGGTTCTAGCCCTTCTGAGCCTGAAGTTACAATGTATAATTATTATGCTTCATAGTACACTGCTCCACAATATGTTGATGCGTTACATTGTGCAGCCCTTACGAGATTTTGACGGCAACTTGAGCCAGCAGACAGCTGAAAGTTGGCGATGGTATCTCAAGGCGCCTAAGCAGACTGACACCATATCTTGAGAATCACATCATCATCAGAGCACTTGTTTCACCGTTTCCATTAATAGTTCACATGCGCAGACATTTAATAAACAAAATCGCACCACTTTTACATATTAAAATCCACTTCAAACCATTATTTAAACAAAATACAGGAGCAGCAATCCGTCGCCGGTCAAGTTCCCGCCAAAACTCCGTTTTAACTGTAACATCTATAATGCCTTATAGCTTGTAATTATACTGGCTCTCTATACCCTAGAGATCAGAACACAGCAGAGCATGCATCAATTCTGATAAATAATCTAATAATCAGTCCTGTTGGGTGGTAATATGTTCTTGTTCGATTTTAGGACATTGAGCAAATGGTACTCGTTAAAATAAACGCTGCAGACTAGTCTTTAAATACCTAATATGATGGTTCTAGAAAAGTATTTATAAACTCATCATAACTCACGAGTGCATCACCCGGTAGAGATCACATTAAAGAAATACCAGAAAGATTCAGTGGGCTCTAATATATGGCGATATAATCATCTCATATTTATAATGCCTCGGCCACACACATCGCGATAAAACTTAGCCTTCGGAAGCGCGAATGTACACACTGCGCGTTGTAAAATTTTATCACTCTAACCACACGCTAAAAATAAAATGGACGCAATGGTCGCTCTGTATTATATGGCAGCGAATAATTATTTTTTATTATTGTGTAATTTTTTAAAAAATAAGAAAAATATATAAATAATTTAATAAAATATATAAAACTCGTAATTACTTATAAATTCCAAAATTTTTCATTACACTAATCCATGTCGGAAATACGTCGCAAACCCTAATTTACTTTGACACATCCGCTACGCACGATGTCTTTAGGCAGACTGAAGTGTGGCCGCACACGCGAAGTCTATCGCAATAAAACCCTTTGAAGTGCGAGAATTTACCGACAGCGAAGCGATGAGGCGAAGGCGAAGTTTTATCGCGATAATTCTATCGCAATGAGTGTGATCGAGGCATAATACTTCGCACGAAGTGACGAAGTATTCACGAAGGGCCGGCCACATACATTGCGATAATGCGAATATTCGCGCTAGAGCGATGTGTGTGGCCGGGGCAATGGACTTTACTTTTATTTATACGAGATATAAAATATCCACGTCAAAAGTACGAGTGCGATACGTCTGGTAGTGCGATTAACAAACTGCATTTCAAACTCTGTTGAGCCCAATTTAAAGGTTGATGAAAATGCTCGAGTTCATATAATTTTACTTAATAAGATATACGTTCATGCATTAAAGAAATATATTATTCATTAGAATTTAATAAAACCGGTTGTTCAGTGATAAAAAGTTGGAAACCAAATAGTATAGTTAATTTACGTACGCAAGATAATTCAATTTCTGATCAACCAAGGCCAAAGTACGGGTATACTCATTTTGAACCGTCTAGTGGGTGGCGGTATAAGAATATCCACTACACCATATCGTCCCGTGGGTGTCGTTAGATGCTACAGAGGGAAATTGAAACAGGAGATGGATATCCTGGTAACAAATTAAAATAGTAAATAATAAAAATTTAAAATTTTGTACAACCGACTTCAATTTGTAGAACCATGCTGCAGCTATATTAATAATATCGTTGTAGCACGAATGGGACCGGGGAAGGACCACGTTCTCACAGAATACCAGCGTAAAATACCAGCGTAAAATAGCAGCTTAATGCTGCTGTGTTTCGTATGGTGAGTGTAAAGAACCGGAGACCCTTTTTACTGGAAAAGAGGCAGTCTATCTTAGTCCTCACGGCTG